CGGGAGGGGAGGTTTGAGGGACTCTGAGCTCGGGCTCGCCGGCGGCGGCGGCGCCGGGGGTGGCGAGGGGAAGGCGGGAGGGTGTTGCAGCAGCCGCCGCCGCCGCGCCCGGAGGAGGGGGCTGAGGTGGCTTCTGAGTTGGCCGCAGAAGGTGGGCATTTCTCGGTTCCTCTACCCCCTCCCCTCCTCTCCCGCCTGCCCCGCACCCCACGTGAAGCAGAATATAAAGGGGGGTGTGAGACTAGAGGGGAGAGTGAATGGCAAAGGACTGAAGGGGGCTCCCTTCGGGACTCCGACAGCCCTGTTCACCCTCGTTCATCCTCCCTTCCCGAAGCTCGCCCTCGAAGGCAGGAGCGACCGGCGCCGGTGCCTTCGGCTGAGGAGGAGGAGGAATCGCGCCCGGCGGAGCGTCAGTCCCGTTTTCCTTTCCGGGTCTTGAATACAAAGATTACGGTGCAGAAGGAAATTGCACTCTGCTTCTCCGTCCCCCGGTACCCAACACAATGCACCAGCCACCCGAGTCGACCGCCGCGGCGGCCGCCGCCGCTGCAGACATTAGTGCGAGGAAGATGGCGCATCCGGCACTGTTCCCTCGAAGGGGCAGCGGCAGTGGCAGCGCCTCTGCTCTCAATGCAGCAGGTACCGGCGTTGGGAGTAATGCCACATCTTCCGAGGATTTTCCGCCTCCGTCGCTGCTCCAGCCGCCGCCTCCTGCAGCATCTTCCGCGTCGGGACCACAGCCTCCGCCTCCACAAAGCCTGAACCTCCTTTCTCAGGCTCAGCTGCAGGCACAGCCTCTTGCGCCAGGCGGAACGCAAATGAAAAAGAAAAGTGGCTTCCAGATAACTAGCGTTACTCCGGCTCAGATCTCCGCCAGTATCAGCTCTAACAACAGTATAGCAGAGGACACTGAGAGTTATGATGATCTGGATGAATCGCACACGGAAGATTTGTCTTCTTCCGAGATCCTTGATGTGTCCCTTTCCAGGGCTACTGACTTAGGGGAACCAGAACGCAGCTCCTCAGAAGAGACTCTAAATAACTTCCAGGAAGCGGAGACACCTGGGGCAGTCTCTCCCAACCAGCCTCACCTTCCACAACAAAATGTTGTGATCAATGGGAATGCCCATCCACACCACCTCCATCACCACCACCACATTCATCATGGACACCACCTCCACCATGGGCACCACCATCCATCCCATGTTGGTGTGGCCAGTGCACCCATTCCTGGAGGGCCACCCTCAAGCCCAGTATCCAGAAAACTCTCTACAGCTGGAAGCTCTGACAGCGTAATACCAGCAGCACCAGCTTCTGCTGTATCATCCGGTGGCTCACCTGCATCTGTAATGACTAATATCCGCGCTCCAAGTACTCTTGTCGGTATCGGTATAAATTCTGTTACTGGCACTAATACAATGAATAATGTTAACGTTACTGCTGTGGGTAGTGTTAGTGCTAATGTGACAAGCAGCATGCTTGGTAATGCTAACGTGAATACAAGCAATATTCCTAGTGCTGCTAGTGTGAGTGTTGGACCCGGAGCTAGCAGCAGTGTTAATGTGAATATCTTGAGCGGCATGGGCAATGGTACTGTTTCTTCCTGTGCTGTTGTTAACAGTGTCCCTAATGCAGCCACAGGGATGACTGTGGGGTTGGTTTCAAGTCAGCAGCAACAACCAGCGGTTAACACATCAAGGTTCAGAGTTGTGAAGTTAGATACCAGTTCTGAACCTTTTAAGAAAGGTAGATGGACTTGCACTGAGTTCTATGAAAAAGAAAATGCTGTACTTGTTACAGAAGGTGTGATAAATAAAGTGGTGGAGACTGTAAAACAAAACCCCGTGGAAGTGACTTCAGAGAGGGAGAGCACTAGTGGCAGTTCAGTGAGCAGTAGTGTCAGCACTCTTAGTCACTACACAGAGAGTGTAGGAAGTGGAGAGATGGGAGCCCCCACTGTGGTGGTGCAGCAGCAGCAGCAACCAGCTCTTCAAGGTGTGGCCCCTCAACAGATGGATTTCAGTAGCACTGGTCCACAGAGTGTTTCAGCAGCTAGTATACCACAGAGTGTTTTACAGTCACAGATATCACAAGTACAGTTACAGTCTCAAGAACTGAGCTATCAGCAAAAGCAAGGTCTTCAACCAGTACCTCTGCAAACTACTGTCAGTGCTGCAACTGGTATCCAGCCATTGCCTGTGAATGTTGTTGGTGTAACTTCAGCTTTAGGTCAGCAGCCTTCCAGTTTGGCTCATCCCCACCTGCCATATTCTCAGACGGCTCCTCCAGTGCAAACTCCCCTTTCAGGGGCACCACCCCAACAGTTACAATATGGACAACAGCAACCGGCTGTTTCTACACCAATGGCCCCAGGCCATGGTAAATCAGTGACTCAAAATCCTACTTCAGAGTATGGACATGTACAGCAGCAGCCAATTCTTCAGACGGCAGTGTCCTCCGGACAGCCCAGTTCTGCAGGAGTGGGAGCAGGAGCAACAGTGATTCCTGTGGCCCAGCCACAGGGTATCCAACTGCCAGTGCAGTCCACTGTGGTCCAAGCACAACCTGCAGGGGCATCTGGCCAGGCCATTGGCCAGGCTCAAACAGCAGTGTCTGCGGTACCTACTAGCAGTCAGATTGCAAATATTGGTCAACAGGCAAACATACCTACTGCAGTACAGAAGCCCTCTACTCAAGTCACACCTTCAGTTCAGCAAGGTGCTCCTCCATCTTCACAAGTAGTTCCACCTGCTCAAACTGGGATTCTTCATCAGGGAGTTCAAACTAGTGCTTCAAGCCTTCCTCAACAATTGGTTATTGCACCCCAAAGTACCTTGTTAACTGTGCCTCCCCAACCACAAGGAGTAGAATCAGTAACTCAAGGAGTTGTTTCACAGCAGTTGCCCGCAGTTAGCCCTTTGCCCTCAGCTAGTAGTATTTCTGTTACGAATCAGGTTAGCGCAACTGTTCCTTCTGCAATGCCTTCTGCCCCAACAAACGTGGTTCCACCACAGAATATAGCACAAACCCCTGCCACCCAAAATGGTAATTTGGTTCAAGGTGTTAGTCAGCCTCCCTTGATAGCAACTAATATAAGTTTACCCTTGGCACAACAAGTACCACTGAGTTCTGCTCAGTTCTCTGCACAATCATTAGCTCAGGCAATTGGAAGCCAAATTGAAGATGCCAGGCGCCCAGTGGAACCCTCCTTAGTTGGCTTACCTCAGACTATCAGTGGTGACAGTGGGGGAACGTCAGCAGTTTCAGATGGGAGTAGCAGCAGCCTAGCAGCCTCTGCTTCTCTTTTCCCGTTGAAGGTGCTACCGCTGACGACACCCCTGGTGGATGGCGAGGATGAGAGGTAAGATGATGCCATGTTTCTGCAGACATTCAACAGATTTGAAGTTTATTTAGTAGCTCTCTGTATATGCACGGAATTAGTCTAAAACATTGTTTTCATTTCTGTATGTGAAAATGTGTTTTCATGGTAAGTGTTCCTAGAGCAGGAGTGTTACGGAGTGGTTTCAGAGTGGATAGGAAATGGTCTAAGTTTTAATATGTAAACAGTGTCAGAACAGTTGAACATATGTTCGTATTAAAAATAGGTTTGGGGGCACCAAATGTTATTTATAAAATGCTTTTGAGAAAGATTAATAATGAACAGAAGCTTAATTTTTGTTAACCTGTATAATAGTTAATCCATTCTTTTGAGTTACTGAAATCCTTATGCTCATGTCTTGGGGCGGTTGTGGTTCCCACATTTGTGCCTCCTTTACTAAACAATCTTTTTCCAGTTCTACTGTGTTTGATTTTAGTCTGTGAAACATAATGTTACCTTCTTTTCTTAGGCAGGGAAAGATGACCTAATCCGGGTTATATAGATTGCCCTCATACTGTAATTGGCCAACTTTTGTGTGTTTATTTAATGGTCATTTGATCTGAGCAGTAAAGGAATGGGAATCTTAAGAAATATTTTACAGAGGAGGAGGGCATACAGTGTCAACATAACCAGATTTACCTTTGATAGTAGTATGCTGAACATTTTTTCTTTTACTTAGTAGACCAAAGTGGTAGCCATTTTAGAGTAAAGAAAGAAAGTCTTGGAGGATGGGCTTACAGGATCATGAAAACAAGACCTGTTCCCCTGCTAAGCTACTTCACCTGTTTCCTTTTTCCTTACCAAAAAAATACCTAAAGCCGAAAATACATTCTTAAACCAGTGTTTTTTCAGTTACATTGAAAATAATGTGCTAATCATACCTATTGAATCAAACTGTGTTGTTGAAGCTGACTGGCTAGAAAGTTGTGAAGTCTCATGATTTTACATTGCTTTAAAACTTAAATTGATTTTAAAGGAATATTCTTTTCACAAATTTGCCAGTCTGTGACTAACATTGATCAAAATAATGTCGTAGGAGTTATGACAAAGGCTATTCATTTTCACTGGAATTTTGAATAAGCTTGCAGGATATTTAATTATTTTGTAATTAGTTCGAGATTTTTGTGATTGAACTTTTATCAGATCAGTTGAAGCATTTATAGTCTATATGCGCATTTGTGATTTTCATTTTGGAAGATTTGAGAATATTTTCCAAAGAATTGCAGTTTTTTTTAAAAAAAAGCAAAGGCCAAATGTTTCAGTGAGGGTTTCATGATTTTTTTAGTTGTTAAAAAGATGTAAAGGCATAGTTAATTGAAATAATTTAAAATCTTTCAAGATTTTTATTAGTTTTCTAAGTCATATAATTAAAATCTTGTTTACCTAACTAAATGTATTCTGTATTATGTGTACAGAATCGTACTTTGAAAACCCCAGCATTTTGCATCCAAACTTACCGTGATTTTGTTAATTACCATTTGTGGTCTCCTGGCATGACTCATTTTTTTCCTCCTAGTGGTAGGAGGCTTTCTTCAACTAGCTGTTGCCAAAAAAAAAAAGTCACATTTTGTGATTTACAACTAGGTTTTTAACTGTAGTGATAGAGTCACAGATTAAGATATTAATAACAAAATTAATTTTTTCCAGATAGTAACTGAGGTAGATTAATTACGGTCATATTACACAGAAAGGTTTGGAATGGTAGAAAGCGACACGAAATGATACCAAGAAGTACGACGCGAAATATTGGCTTAAAGTGACGAGTGTCTTTAGATTGTACCTGTTTTGAATTTACTACATATTTGAGCCTTTATTAGTTAACATCAAAATTAAGTCACCAAGATTGGAAAATTTTTGTTTCACAGGTATCCTCTAAATTCTGAAAAATAAAAATACTTCACCCCTAAAACACCTGTTAACGGTCAGAAAGCAGATATATATATATATATAAAATCTTTAAGGTGTTTTATTGCAGATTATTTTATCACTATAGTTTGGAAAAAGAAATGTTACTTGTTTCAGTTAAATTTGCCCTTGGAAGGGAATTTGAGAATAACTACAAGAGAAAAAAGTGTATGATTCAAAAAAAAATTCTTTTTACCTTTCTTCCTGTATTAATTTCTGTGTCATTTGCATCATCTGGAAGCCGAACCATCATTAGTCTCTTATAGGAGAAAGTGTACATTATAATTTCAATATATGAACTCAGGAAATATGTTCACTATATAACTTTTTGGTGGTAGCACAAATAAAGGATGGTTATTCTTTAATCAGCTTTTGAAATAATACTCTAAAGCTTTAGATTTAAAAAATATTCATTAGACATGTGGAAAATGTTTTCATTTGGCCACTGGGAGAGACTAAAGATTAGAAACATGGATCAAAGCATTAAGATTATGTATAATCTTTTTTTTTTAATTACTCCTATTATAAATATTTTAAGATCTTATTTTAGTCTTTAACATGAAGTTATAGCACAGAGAAGATACAGATATTTTACACTGAAATGTAGTCTTTTGCGCTTTGTGATTATTAACACAGCTTTTGTTAAATTGGTTAAACTTCTATTCGTCCTTCAAGACTCAGCTCAGAATGTTCCCTCTGAAGCATTCTCTTTCCCCAGGGAGTATTGTTTCCTTAGCACTTTTTAATGTTCCTCTAAGCACTGTACACACTGAATTATAATTATCTGTTTACCCACCTTCCCCATAAGACTGTGAGTTCCTGAAGAACAGGGACTAAATATTTTTTGAACCAATTAATGAGCAGACAGACCTTTCTCTGCTTTGTGGATTGCAGTCAGTTTTTCTATCATGATTTAAAGTTTGTGTTGTCCCTCATCTTAATTATAAGAGATGCGGGATCATATAATTTATGCAAGGGATTGAAAAGAAATGAATAAAAAGACTGGCTTCTTTGTACCTCTTACTTCATTATTCCTTGAGATAATTGAAGACTATTTTCCAAACAGTCCTGGTATATGGTACGTACTCAAATATTTACTGAAGAGGAATGAGAGTTTTCTTGTGTATAATCTGGGGATAATACTTATTTTGCTTACTTCCAAGGATAATTTTATCAGATAAACTGTAAAATACTAAATTATAATTTTTTAAAGTTTTTATTTTTATTTAAGTTGTATATTCACAGTTTAAAGAGTCAAATAGTTTACAGGGTTGTATAAAAAGAGCTTCCTGTCCCACCTTCCAGTTTTCCCTTTTACAGAAGCAATCACTTTCACCTCTTTTAGGTGATTATTGTGATATTTACTTTCTAGTATCTAAATAACATGCATGTATTGCTATTAGATATACAGGATAGCTTGATGGTTACGAGCATGAACTCTGGAACAAGACTGCCTAGGTTTAATCATTCATCTTTCATTTACTAAGTTTTATGGGGCTACTTAACCTCTTTATGCCTCGATTTCCTCATTTGTAAAAAATGGAGATAATAGTACCTACCTCGTAGGGTTTTTATAAGAATTAAGGGAGTTTAGAAAGACCTTAGAACTGTGTCTAACTCATACGCCCTGTCTAAGTGTTGGTTAGATAAAATATTCCTTGCTTTTGTTTTTGGTTTTAGCCATTAACTTCCTGGATAGAAATGAAGATTTAACTCTTGCTGTTGTCACCACTTACTTAGCAGTACCCCCTTCCTCGCAGTGTCTTTTCCTCTCAATAGTTACAACATAATTATAATTATATCACTTGATTATTTAATATTCTTGTAAAATATGATTAATTTTCCTGTTCTGTACAATGTCTTGTGGCAGCCTCCTACCCCACCCCCAGCAATCTAGTATATAGAAATGTTAGTAAATCATCCCCCCAGCCCCAGGTTTTCATCTGTTAGCATAGTCTGTTTCCTCCAGGTTGTCTTTTTTCCCCTTTTTGTATGTTTTGGGCTCTACCTTTCATGATGGAGCATTTCCTCAGATGTCTGGTAGTTCTTGGTTGTGTGCTTGCACTTAGAAGTAGCAGACTAAAGAGCTGGTTAGAATTCTCAGTGTGGCTTGTTGACTGTTAGCTTCACCCTGGAGTGATCTGGCTGGAGTTAATTGTCTTTTTTTTTCTTTTCCTTTGCTTAGTTTTCTCTATATTTATCACTGATTCAGCTTTTCAACAGATGTCTCTCAAGATGTTCATAGATATCAGGTATTGTTATCAGTTTTATCTTCCTGAGGAAGTTTTTCTCATATCCTTCTGACCGCCGTTCTGAACTGATTGCTCTCTAAGCTTGGTACACAGCTGTTGCATTTGGATTCCCTTCACTTTCTTCTGTGTTGGATCTCCCATTTTCTGGTGACCCGTGTCTTCTTCGTTTTTGGTTTACAGTGAGTGTACCTTACGCCGGCACTTATTTCATTCTTTGGTTCAGTAAAGAATCCTATTGCCATTGAGTCAATTCTGACTCGCAGAGCGCACCTATAGGACAGAGTAGAACCTGCCCCATGGGGTTTCCAAGGAGCGGCTAGTGGATTCAAACTACCTACCCGAGCTCTTAACCACCATGCCACCAGGGCTCCTCAGTGAAGAATACCAGGTGGGAGATGGTGTTCTAATTTTGCTCCATTGCTTTCTATCTTCCATGTTGCTTTTGAGAATCTGAAGCTGTTTTGATTCCGCATGTATCATGTGTATGTGTATTTTGTTTTTTCTTATTCTTTTCTTTCCCGTTCTCTGTTCCCTTCCTCTCCTTTCTTAAGTTTCTGAAAGCTCTTAGGATTTTATCTATTTTTCTAGTGTTTTGAACTTTTATAATGACAGTTCTTTGTGCAGGTCTGTTTTCATCCATGGTGCTGAGTACTTGGTGCGCCCTTTCAGTCTGGAAACATCTTTAATTCTGATGCTTTTTCTTGAATGAGGTTTCTTTCTCTTTTCTTTGCATTTTCTCTCTCTCTCTTTTTTTCTTTCTCAACTCTTTTTATTTGGATAATGGACCTTCTAGACTGGTCTTCTAATTTTCTGTCCTATTTTCCA